TTTTGTCGGGGGAGGTTGGCTGACCTGGGCCAACAACAGTGTGGGTGATCTGGGATGTCTAAGCACATAATTTATTCACAAATTAGTGGAAAGGTTAAATAAATGTGTTGAGTCAAAGCGATCATAAGTTTGCGGGTTTTCTTTGGAAGATTTTTTGACAAGGTGAATAGTATTTATGAAAAAAAGCATATAGTCACTAAGCACATAATTTATTCACAAATAGAGGAGGAATAATGCGTGTTAATAAAAATGGGCGTCTAGTTGCTAAAACACTCACAAATCGACGAACAGGTTAAATTTTAATGTGTTCCTTCTAAAGCTCAATTATAGACTAAGTTTGCGTTTTGAATTTTTGCGATTTTCTCGCAAAAGTTTTTTAACAGATAGCTGAGTAACAATTTGCGTTTTGAAAAAATGGGCGTTTAGTGGCTAATTAGATGATTTATTTTAAATTAGTGAACAGGTAGAATAAATTTGGACTCATTCCTAAGATTGCGTTTTGTTTGGGACACACATAACTGTTTGAAACTAAAATTCTCAAGAGGATTTCCTAAGGACTCTATTTACATGCAATGAAGAACTAGCAACTAAAGCTCATAAATATATTAGCTGACAAGTGGAGATAAAAAATAATCATACAGAACTAGAGGACCCATGCTGCTCCGCAGCGTTAAAATAAATATAATATCCGAGAAAATATCAAATTCCTGATTTTTGATTGAGCAATACAGTATCTTGAGCTTAACTGATTCAAACGATCAATATCTCAGATTAAAGCCTATAAGTTACTAATTATTTTGAGTCTAAATCATATAAAAGACCTTAACAATACTGGAGCTATTGATGTTTAATCATATAAAATACCTTTTGAAAAATAAATTTAATATTTGTTGTTCACCTTGCGTGTTTGCTTGAAACTCGTCCGATTTGAAAAACTAATAGCCTAAATGTAAGCAGGTATTTCACTGAAGGATCTTGGACCAAAATATATAGGATTATATAATTATATAACTGGTAAAATGTATCTTAAATTGAAGTAAGACTTCTAAAAAGAATCAAATTATGTTTTTTGGTCGAGAAATGCAGTAGGTATATATATGCCGATACCTGATGGCAAATCTGTGCGTGCATACCTTCAATTTGAGACCTCAATCATGAAAATCGGTCAGGTAGAAGAGCCAATCGCACTCGGAAAAGAGAAACCAAATTTAACTCCCATAAGAAATACATGGGGAGCAAATTTCGTTTACGTATATGCCGAGTGGGATTATAGATAAATAAATGCCGATACATGATGGCAAATCCGTGCGTGCATACCTTCAATTTGAGACCTCAATCAAGAAAATCGGTCGGGTAGAAGAGCCCATCGAACTCGGAAAAGAGAAACCAAATTTAACTCCCATAAGAAATACATGGGGAGCAAATTTCGTTTACGTATAAGCCGAGTGGGATTATAGATTAATAAATGCTTATTCTTGATGGCAAATCTGTGCATGCATACCTTCAATTTGAGACCTCAATCATGAAAATCGGTCTGGTAGAAAAGTCAATCGAACTCGGAAAAGAGAAACCAAATTTAACTCCCATAAGAAATACATGGGGAGCAAATTTCATTTACGTATAAGCCAAGTGGGATCATAGATAAATATATGCCGATGCTTGATGGCAAATCTGTGCGTGCATACCTTCAATTTGAGACCTCAATCGTGAAAATCGGTCGGGTAGAAGAACAAATCGAACTCGGCAAAGTAAACCCAAATTTAACTCCCATAAGAAATACATGGGGAGCAAATTTCGTTTACGTATAAGCCAAGTGGGATTATATATAAATATATTCCAATGCTTGATGGCATATCTGTGCGTGCATACCTTAAATTTGAGACTTCAATCACGAAAATCGGTTGGATAGAAGAGCCGTTCGAACTCGGCAAAGAAAAACCAAATTTAACTCCCATAAGAAATACATGGGGAGCAAATTTCGTTTACGTATAAGCCGAATGGGATTATAGATTAATAAATGCTTATTCTTGATGGCAAATCTGTGCATGCATACCTTCAATTTGAGACCTCAATCATGAAAATCGGTCTGGTAGAAAAGTCAATCGAACTCGGAAAAGAGAAACCAAATTTAACTCCCATAAGAAATACATGGGGAGCAAATTTCATTTACGTATAAGCCAAGTGGGATCATAGATAAATATATGCCGATGCTTGATGGCAAATCTGTGCGTGCATACCTTCAATTTGAGACCTCAATCGTGAAAATCGGTCGGGTAGAAGAACAAATCGAACTCGGCAAAGTAAACCCAAATTTAACTCCCATAAGAAATACATGGGGAGCAAATTTCGTTTACGTATAAGCCAAGTGGGATTATATATAAATATATTCCAATGCTTGATGGCATATCTGTGCGTGCATACCTTAAATTTGAGACTTCAATCACGAAAATCGGTTGGATAGAAGAGCCGTTCGAACTCGGCAAAGAAAAACCAAATTTAACTCCCATAAGAAATACATGGGGAGCAAATTTCGTTTACGTATAAGCCGAATGGGATTATAGATAAACACATGCCGATGCTTGATGGCAAATCTGTGCGTGCATACCTTCAATTTGAGACCTCAATTATGAAAATCGGTCTGGTAGAACAGCCAAACGAACTCGGAAAAGAAAACCCAAATATTTTTAATCATACAGAATATTAAAACTTCGTTAAATTGAAAAATGTACATTGTTTTGTGAGAAGGGCTTTCATTGAGGATTTGAAATATTTCACTACAGTCCTTAAAATAAAAAAATCAACTCAACTCGCCATTAATTTAACTAACTGTAGACAAGTGACCGTGCTAAACAGCTAATCTAGTGAAATATACGCAGACGCTGCAGAAACTAATGAAACACATTTGCAGTAAAATGAAATTAGTTAACATGGTGTTTAGTGGAAGAGTACCAAAATACAGAGTAAGTTCTTCTATTATGAGATAATTTTACGTTCTGGAAATATAACGAATTACATAGAACAAATTTAAAACCCAAAAAACTGCTGTTTATAAAAAATTAAGAGATTGTACAATCAGTTGGCAATTAGCATGATTTGAACTTAGCCTCGAGGGAAAAAGTTCCGCACTTTAACCTCTAGATCTATCTTGTCCTCCATTAATCTGCGTTTATTAAGTGGTAAATAGTGTTTTCGTATAAACTATTTTTTAAATGTGAAACTATTGTCATTCTTCCTTGAAACTGTTGTATATTAAATCATAAATAATAATTATCAATACGAAGTCACTGCAAGTTATATTCAATGCTTAATGCTTACTAAGAAAGAAACAGGAAATGCATGCTAAAGCTCAAAGGTCAAAGGCTGAAGACCAAGAACTGGAGAGGATTCACTTCACTTCTGTATGAACTGTGAGTATAGCAAGAGAGTAAAATGTGCACTTGTTAGGGTTAATATTTTTCCCCTAAAAATATATAATAATTTGGCGACGAGCTTGTGGAAGTCTTAAATATTAGTTTAAAAGTTATTAAAACAGTGTTTTCTAGTACAAATTCTACAAATAAAAGTGAAATATTAGTGAAATCTGCATCAAGAGGAGACAAGTCACATGTTCAGTTTTCACAAAAAGTTACAAGTCAACTATTGCAAGTTTATAAGTTGATTAAATTTTAAAGCTGAGTTTTTATTGATATCTGGAAAAGGAATATTTTATTTGAAAACACACAAAGGCAAGGTATTTATGTAAAATATAGGACTTGTCATCAATTTTCATGTTAGTACAGAACTTTGCAGAAACCTGTTCAGACAAAGCATTTTGCAGGAAATCCCAAGTGGAAATATTATAAATTTGGAAAATCATTTGCAACTTTTTGTAACTTTTGAAGCAAATGGATCTACTTTAGTAATATATAATCTTCTTAAAGGTTAAAAGTAAAATTAAATCAGTCAAATGCAATGAAATGGACTTATGTTTCTTGGAATAGGCCTAGGCTAGTCCTGACTTTGGAAAGTTTTTTACTGTACTGTTCATGCCTAAAACAAACATTTGCCATAGCAAAATGTCAGTTACTGGTAAATTCTCTGAATTTAATGAAGAAGTGGAAGATCTTAGTAATTATTTGGAAAGATTTGAGTTGTACATAAAAGCTAATTCTGTGAAGGAAACAGAAAAAGTTCCATTATTCCTTACTGTTATAGGGCCTAAAGTTTTTGGAGTTTTTAAAAACTTATTGCTTCCCAAAAAGCTTGCTGATGAAACTTATGACAATTTAATTAAGGCTTTAAAGGGTCATTTCACACCAGAAAAGTCAATTATTTCTGAAAGGTGTAAATTTCACAAAAGGTTCCAAAAAGATGGGGAAACGTTAGCTCAGTACGCAGTGGAGATTAAACATTTGGCTGCTTCTTGTGATTTTGGTAATTTCTTAAACGATGCCATGAGGGACCGCTTTGTTAGTGGGATTAAAAACGAGGATATTCAACAACGGTTGATGACAGAGACCGATTCAAATTTTTCGCAACTCTTTGAACTTGCTTGTAGGCTAGAAGCTGCAAGGAAGGAAGTCAAAGGATTTCATTCACAGGGAGAAGTGGGTGAAATAGATTTTGTAAAATCGTACAGACACAGTTCTAAGCCTAGTGGGGGTAAAAACAATTTCCAAAAGCCAAAACTAGGTTATGTCAAAGGTAATAACCTCATGGAAAATAAGAAAGACTATAAATGCTACAGGTGTGGCAAAACTGGTCATAATTGTAATATGTGTTTCTTCAAAGGAGCACGATGTCACTCTTGTGGTAAAATAGGCCATTTGTCGAGTGTTTGTAAGCAAAAACATGGAAAGCCTAAACCTACTAGTAATAGGTCAAGAGTAAATTTTGTAACTGATAGTCCAGATGAAGATGTAAATACTTGCTATGATTTACAGTGTGTTTCTTTGATAAATGAAGTTTCTTTTGATAACAATTATCGAACCACCTTGATGGTCGAAGACAAACCATTGGACATGGTTATTGACACCGGTGCCATTATGACTGTTTTACCTAAACATATTTATGATGATAAATTTAGTCATATAAATTTAAGGCCTACTGAGTTGCAGCTGAAGTCGTACACTGGACACCCATTGGATGTTTTGGGAGAGTTCAAAGCCGCAGTTTCGCACGAAGGAAAGGACTACAATCTACCTGTAGTGGTTGTAGAAATCACCGATCGTCGACAGCCAGCACTGTTGGGACGTAATTGGCTACATCAGTTGAAGTTGGACTGGAACAGGATATTACAGGTTGGATCTGGAAATAATGCAGGCAAGTCTAGCCATAATGTTTCTACTTCTACTGCTTCTATAGAAAATGACTTGAAAAGTAAATTTATGGATGTTTTTGAAGGGCAAATGGGTCTAATTAAAGGTATCACCACTGAGATTGCTGTAGATGAAGAGGCGACTCCAATTTTTTGTAAGGCTAGACCTGTTCCATATGTTTTAAGAGAATCAGTCGAAAAAGAACTTGATAATCTTGTTAAATCTGATGTCATTTATCCAGTCAAAGATAGCCAGTGGAGTACACCCTTGGTTTGTGTTTTAAAACCTGACGGAAAATCAGTGCGATTGTGTGGGGATTTCAAAGTAACCTTAAACCGAGTCTTGAAAAATTCGGAGCATTATCCACTCCCTACATCAGAAGATATATTCACAAAACTTTCAGGTGGGAAAATATTTTCAAAAATTGATTTGACTTCAGCCTATTTGCAGTTAGGTGTAGGCGAAAAATCGCAACCATTCTTAACGGTAAACACCCACAAAGGTCTTTTCAGGTACAAAAGACTACCCTTTGGGATTACGAGTGCACCTTTTCAGTTCCAAGCGGTCATGGACCGTATCCTAAAAGGATTAAATAGTACATACTGTTTTCTGGATGATATTTTGATTGTAGGCCACAACATGCAAGATGCAGTAAACAAAACCGAAGCTCTTCTAGTGCGACTTAAAGAATTCGGTATCAAGGCTAACTACCAGAAAAGTGAGTTCCTTAAACCCAGTTTGAATTTCCTTGGACATAGGATTGATGAGTTCGGAATACACCCTACCGATAAACTAGTTAAAGCTATCTTGGATGCACCCGAGCCTACCGATGTTACCCAGCTAAGAGCCTATCTAGGCCTATTGAATTTTTATGGGCGTTTCCTCCCTAACCTATCCACGGTGTTATACCCGTTGCATCAGTTGCTTCATAAAGCCAAACCCTGGCAATGGAATTCAGAATGTTCAAAAGCTTTTAATGAAAGTAAACTGCTTTTAACTCAAAGTAATGTTTTGGTACCTTATGATCCAAAGTTGAAAATCCAAGTGACATGCGATGCAAGCCCTTATGGGATCGCCAGTGTTATGTCTCACACTATGCCGGACGGATCTGTCCGACCAGTTGCGTATGCTTCTCGAAGTCTTACAAAATCCGAAATGAACTATGCTCAGTTAGATAAAGAAGCCCTTGCTATCATATTCGGAGTAAAGAAATTTCACAAATATATTTTTGGTCGATCATTCACATTGATTACGGATCATGCCCCTTTAACAGCATTCCTAGGAGAGAAAAAGGGTATCCCAGTTCTTGCAGCTGCCCGCATGCAACGTTGGGCAATAATTTTGTCTGCGTATGACTACCACATCATCTATCGAAAAGGTTCTGAAATTGTAGAAGCTGACGCTCTTTCACGTCTTCCTAAGAAACTCGACCCAAACTCTGAAGATATTTCAGTTATTCAGTTTTTTGCTCCATTTCCAGAACTACCTCTCACAGCAAAAGAAATAAGTCTTGCAACCCGAAGAGATCCGTTGTTTTCTAAAGTCTTAGATTTGACACTTCAAGGCTGGCCTACACATTTAGATAAGGATGAGCCATTAAGAGCTTTCTTTCTGAGAAAGAACGAACTTTCAGTTGAAAATGGTTGTATTCTTTGGGGAAATCGAGTCCTCATTCCTACTAAATTTCAAAAACACCTCTTAGACATGTTACATGAAGAACATCCTGGTGTTTGCAAAATGAAAGCTTTGGCCAGAAGTTTTGTGTGGTGGCCTAAAATTGATGACCAAATTGAAAATGTTGTTAAAACTTGTGAGATTTGTCAAATGACCCGTAAATCTGCCCCTAAGCTGCCTCTACAGCCGTGGCAGTGGCCTTCAAAGAAATGGCAGCGTGTGCACCTAGATTTCGCTCAGAAGGATGGTGTTTATTTTCTGATACTAGTGGACAGTTTCTCTAAATGGGTCGAAGTATACCAAATGAATGGTACCAACGCCTCAAAAACTATTGAAAAATTACGTAAATGCTTTGCCGCATATGGAGTTCCGGAGAACATCATCACAGACGGAGGACCGCCTTTTAGGTCAGAAGAATTTGAAAGTTTTTTGAGATTCAATGGAATAAATCACATTTTCTCCCCTCCATATCATCCGGCGAGTAACGGCCAAGCAGAGTCTATGGTGGGTACTTTTAAAACCTCTCTCTTAAAGCAAGTACTCCAAGACAACCTCAAGGGCCGAAATCGGACTTTGCAGCACAAACTGGATTGTTTCATGTTCGCTTACCGAAACACACCTCACTCAATCACTGGTAGAACACCTTCGGAACTATTTTTGGGTTTTCAGCCTAGAACCAGATTCACTCTGCTAAAACCAGATTTCAAAAGCAACATGGAGAGCAAGCAACAGAAAATAAAAGAATCCAGTGACCAACATAGAGGAAAATGGAGGTCGTTCACACTAGGACAGGAAGTCTGGGTCAAAAGTATCCGTAACGAAGAAACAAGATGGATGCCGGGAGTTATTATCAAGTGTATAAGTCCTGTGACTTACATTGTTAGCGTAAGGGGACAGAAACGGTTTGTACATGCCGATCATTTGAAAGAGTTGGAAGGTGAATTGCCCATTATGAGAAGAGAAGAACCAGAAATCACTCCTCCACGACCCTTACCAGTGCTATCACCAAGCAAAAGTCTGGTCGAACCTCCTATACATGTTGATCAATCACAGAGTCCCACGAGATCACCACCACCTCGGAAATCTTTACCACCTCAGAAATCTCCATCACCTCGGAAATCTCCATTACCTAAAGGAAGTATAACTCACGAACAAGAACCCCTGCGGAGGTCCAAAAGGATGATAACGGCCCCGCAGAAACTTAATCTTTAGTAGACAAGAGAACAAGTTCGCAGCAAGATTAAGTTAATTTTATTTTACATTTGACAAACAATGAATTTTATTTTGAAATGAAGATGCTGCGAACATTTATAAAAGAAGAGTTATTTTATTTTATTTTCAAGAAGAATTTTAAGTTTTTTTTAAAGGGGAAAGGAGTGTTGTATATTAAATCATAAATAATAATTATCAATACGAAGTCACTGCAAGTTATATTCAATGCTTAATGCTTACTAAGAAAGAAACAGGAAATGCATGCTAAAGCTCAAAGGTCAAAGGCTGAAGACCAAGAACTGGAGAGGATTCACTTCACTTCTGTATGAACTGTGAGTATAGCAAGAGAGTAAAATGTGCACTTGTTAGGGTTAATATTTTTCCCCTAAAAATATATAATAGAAACAATATATGTATAATACGTGAAGACGTTTTTGTGAACACTACTCCTCCATTTGGACCAATTTCAACGTTTGAAGTGTCAATAATAAGTCTAAATTCGTAAAGGTTTTGAATTAAAAAATTGTTACCCATAAGGGCACGAGGAGTTCTCAAAGATAGATTATCCTTCTTAAAAATTTCATAGAACAAATTAAAAAAAACAGCTGTTTATATAATAAGGAACTCGGTTTTTTGGGAGAAGAATATTAAAGTTTGTAATATATTCAGGAGGTTGAAGACCAATGTAAAGTTAAATCAGTTTTGTTGGAAGAAAAGAAAATTCCTAGAGGAATATTGAAAACAGGAGGAGGATACAATTAATTAATAAGAGATCAGAGCTATTGACGAGTAAAAAAGCCACTTTGTCACGTCATGTATATATACACTGCAGCAGCTGTGTACCGCTGGGGGACTTGGCGGGGCAAATATGTGCATATTTGAAGAGTAGAAGAAGAGAGGCCTGGACTAACAGTAAGGAATCCAGATACACACTCAATTGTAGAGATGAATAATATGTTTTACAGTTGTGATATACAAAATGGCTTTGCACACTAGTTACACAAATATTGAAAGTGAAAAAAATACACGACGAATTTACACATCGTGTTGTCACGGTGGTTAAGTAAACTTGCCTAATGTCAGATAAAATGAATACATGCAAGAAATGGTTACTGGTAACAGCTGTGGGTAAGTCGGAAAACATTTGTAGAAAACACTAAAAAAGACCAACGTCTGAAAAATTAAAAAGAAAATATTTAAAAGAAGTGTTTATAGATAACGAACTGTTATTAACAGCGTGAGTATTTCCATTAGCTACACAACCTTTTAGATGAGTATTGAAAACTCATCGAAAATTATGACTGTTAATCGTACTAAAATAACTCCTGTATAACTCCGTTACTTGGCAATTGCTCGATTTTGATCAACAGGTACACTAGTGTATATATTTCACGTTAAAAATATTCATTCCACATCAATTGAACCACACAGTTGCAACGGCAGTTTCACCAACTGTTATTGAAAAGTAACACCCACTGATTGGTTTTCACTTTGCACAGTTTTGTAATTGAAACCCCACAACTAGTAGGTTTTGAGACCGAAATATAGAGTTTCAAACTAATAATGTGTGCTGGTTTTCAGTTATTGGCAGAGAATTTCTTTATTTCTTAATTTATTTATTTCCATTCCAACGGCCAAAAACCATTACAAAAATGATTGGTAACGATTGTTATAATCTTAAATTAATAAATAAATATGCAGTTGTACAATTCAATAAATAGATATTTAATAGAAAACAATTTTTATAGGGAAGAAAATATTAATGTAAGTGGCACGAATACCTAGACCCGGGACTGATTTACTTCTTCTTTCTGACGTCCCCAGGGGTCAAACACACTATTCGTCAAAATGCAACACAACAATAGGTACAGTTTGTTAAATTTTGGGCAAATTTATATATTCCATACTACACTAACTTATTGACATTTTACAACAAAGATCTTAATTGTTTACATACTTTTTTCTTCCATGTAGCAGCAAACCTAGGTACCCTAGTTTTATTTAAATAAAGAATAAATCTGACAAGTATAAAGGAATAGTTTACTAAAAATCCAATCAGACATATAGAAATTCGCTTAGTCCTTAGGTTTGGTGCGCGGAGTATATTGTTAATTTTTGTAGGTTAAGCTAATAATTTCATGATTTCATACATAATTATATTTTTGTATAAACTGTAATGTGTTATTATGTCGAAGCGATACATTATTATTAGCAATATAACGACTTTTTTGGATCCCTCCATTTGAGTTTGATCATACACACTTTATCTTCCATCTGGCCTTGAATATCTTATTTATTTTGGTTACAATCTTCCAGGCACGAGTCCTTCAAATAGAAACCTTCTTTGGGTAAAAATGTATATTTTTGAAGCTTCAAAAGGTAGTTGACCAAACTTGTTAAGGCTGGATATCGATATTTAAGTCCCGTAGGAAATCTGTTCCTATTTGAGGTAGGCTCAAAGAGATTTACATTGAGGGGGCGTCGCTTTGAAGTGGATGAAAGATGAGCTAATTTACTGTATCAACTAAACTCATACTGACCCCGCGTACTTTCACTTCTAGCCAATAACTAGTTTTGGTAATACAATTTATTTGGTTGGTATGTTTAAAGTTAATAAGGAAGAATACGATATTTAATCAATTTAGGACCATTATCAAACATTAACTAAAGGATATAAATTAATTAATTAAACTTTATAAACAAATTATGCAATATTCAACAATTAACTGCGCGTTTCGCAACAGAAAAATGTGATTCTTTAAATCTGCTGCATGAAATATCTAACCCTATTATAGGTTTTAAAATCAACCCAGTTTTACTGATTTGTTTGATAATCAAGTCCAAATTCTTCTATTTGGGTCTGATCTCTTAGCCTGCAGCTCATTATACAATTTTTTAAAGAGAATATAAGGAAAATTCAACAAAACTCTTACTAACCTGCCGTTAATGATACATAAGTTTCCACAAAAAAGTATTTTGATTAATTTAGTTTTAATTTTTAAGAATATTTCTAATTTGTAATAGAGCTCGTCCCGCGCACAGGTCTTTTACGGCCTATGCGGGACTATTGTTCATATTTTGTATATGCATATATTGTAAATATTTTTTGGAAATATAGCAGATTTTGATTTGATTTGATTTTGATTTAGTATATTGTATATTTGTTATATTTCTACGAAATGCCAATTCAATTGGTCCAGTCATAGTTACGTGATTTACCATATGAACATTATTCAACATTATGTCAATTATACGATTAAAATGAATAATAACCACGTTTCAAAACGATAAGCTTACACATTAAAATTTGTATTACAGTAAATTTACAAAAAGATTATATAACTTAAGGCGTGTGTCAGCTTTAATATTATATAGCCTTTTCGGGGTTCTTCTTTATCACATTCCGTTTGTTTAACTCACTGTGGGGGAGGTAAAGGTCAAATGTTATACAGTGTAGTGGGAGACTGGGAAATGTGCAATATGTACATCCAGGTCGCAGTACATCGCATCTGTGAGGAATGAATGAGTTATGTATGTATACTCCTATTGAGGTTACCAAATCAGTGTTAAATGTAAAAAAAATTAAATTTTAAAAATTCACTATCCTATATTAGGTGAGGATTTAAAAAATAAAGATAGGCGTTTCAACGATTATTTCCATAGGTTTAAGCTATCCAGTAAGACAAATAATACGTGTAAATAATGGTAGCTTTGGAAATATTCAAAAGACACAAGCCTTTGATTGTATAATTAGTTTTGTGACGTTTAAACCTAAGAATAAATAAATTCGTCTACGAGGGCTATTCAGAAAGTGTGGAACGTTTCATTTTTTTATCCTCATAATTAGACCAATTCGTTAATACCAAGGCAAGAATGTGGTTCGGATTCCACTATAAACTGTAGTGCCTTAGTTGCCGTTAGCGGTTTGGGGTATTAATTAACAGCTGTGTCTAAGGAATATGTCGCCTTAGTCACTAACAATACTACAAGATCGCACCACTCATACACTCATCCTTCACTCATTTGGGTTAAAATATACTCATAGTGGCGTCCCCATCTGATATAATTGGTTGTTTGTATAATTGAAATTCCAGTGCATCTTATTGATTGTAATCGTACTGCAACACGAAAATGAGGTATCATAATCATTATTAGAGGTCTATTTATTCACATATAATACTAGGTTATTTATTTTTATTATAAGACACAGATTTTATATGCAAATAATTGTTTTTAAAAACCGTATTTATTGAGGGGATTTTTTTGAAATTAAAATTAATTGAAAAAATGAAAATAATCAATCATCAATTGAGATTGGTACGCAAGGTGCGTATTTTAATCCAAATTTGAGTAAGTGATGATCTGTGTAGCTTTGTTACTGACTAAGATCAGCTGGTTCATCAGCAAGGCTCAAGTAAACCCAATGATCAGGGACAGCTGGGTCCAGTTTCGAACCATGAAAAAGCTACGGAATTTTCTTAGAATTTAATCGGCAATAGTTTATTTTGTATTTATTAAATAATTTTGAATGCTGCTTTACATTTTTTAAAAGCCAATCCACGTCAAAACTCCGAAATGTAACCATCTTTATGACATTTTTAATTGACACAGTTAGTACTTATTGTCGGGACTACGTAAGTTTGCAGTTGGTGGCAGCCAATTACAAGACAAGGCTAGTGCGACGTTGCCACATCGCCCGTTGACAACACTAATTAAAATATACTAAGCAATATTTTCAAATCAGCTGGTATTATTAGATTTGGCAACACCGCACGGTTCTCATTGGTTCATCCAAAACCACATGGTAAATAGGCTCCTCCCTCAACTGCAAACTTACGTGGTCCCGACTATAGTTTCCCATCTGCTTTATGTATAAAGTGATAAGAAAAAGAAATAAATCAAATAAGTAATTTAATTGAATATTTATTTTACATTTCGGTCCGTCAAGAACAGTATGATATAATTAATTAACAAGATATTTATGTCGAAACATTTTACTT